CAAGGAAAACCTAGCCGTCCCCCCCTCACCCCGCCACCAAGTGGAAAACTGAACTGCTTGGGGCATTCTAAAGTAGCAAAATAGTATATGTATAGCGCATACAGCAGTTAAAACAATTTTTTTTTTTTTTTTTTGAGATAGAGCCCAGACTGGAGTGCAATGGCAAAATCTCAGCTCATCGCACCCTCCGCCTCCCAGGTTCAAGTGATTCTCCTGCCTCAGCCTCCCGAGTAGCTGAGATTACAGGTGCCTGCTACCACACCCGGTTAATTTTTTGTATTTTTAGTAGAGACAGGTTTCACTATGTTCGTCAGGCTAGTCTCGAACTCCTGACCTCAGGCAATCCACCCGCTTCTTCCTCCCAAATGCTGGGATTACTGGCACGAGCCGCTGCGCCCTGCCTAAAACACTTCTTTAAGTACGGGATAGGTGACCCTGCCCGTGGGGCTCCCTGGTGGAGAATACTTTCTAGTTTGTCCTTGATCAGTGGTAAGCAGGCACCAGCTGCCTCCCTAGTTTATCTTGGTTCCGTGAGCAAACACAGGACACCTGCTGTTGATAATAATCACCTGTTCAAAGAGAATAGCTACCTGGGTCAGTGTCTGCTCCAGGCCCTCAGCCCAGAATGCTGTCAGCCCCTGAGGTTCTCAGCTCGGAAGGCTCTTGGCCCCCGGACAGTCCCACTTTGCTGTTCTAGCTGGGTGTCTGCTCCTTAATGCCTTCATCGCCACCTGGGTGTGGGTCTTTACGGCTGAGCTGGACTCCGTAGATGGGGTTTCACTCTATGTTGGCTAGGGTGGTCTCAAACTCCTGACCTCAGGTGATGGCCTTGGCCTCCCAAAGTGCTGGGATTATAGGCGTGAGCCACCGTGCCTAGCCAACTTTTTTTTTTTTTTTTGGAGACAGATTCTCACTCAGCTGCCCAGGTTGGAATGCAGGGGTGCGATTTCGGCTCACTGCAACCACCGTCTCCCGGGTTCGAGTGATTCTCCCGTCTCAGCCTCCTGAGTAGCTGGGATTACAGAGACCCGCTGTTGTGCCCGGCGAATTTTTGTATTTTAGTAGAGATGGGGTTTCACCATGTTGGCCAGGCTGGTCTTGAACTAGTAGTAGAACTAGTTGATACTTGCAGTAGTATCAACATGGTTCACTGCAGCCTCCACCTCCTGACCTCAAGTGATCCACCCACTTCAGTGTCCCAAAGCGCTAGGATTACAAGCATGAGCCACCGTGACAGGCCAACTTTTTAAGGTAGCCAAGTGAGGTGGCATGCGTCTATTGTCCCAGCTACTTGAGAGGCTGAGGTGGAAGGATCACTTGAGCCCAGGAGGTGGAGGCTGCAGTGAACCATGTTGATACTACTTCACTCCAGCCTGGGTGATGGAGTGAGATCCTGTCTCAAAAAAAAAAAAGAAAAAAGTGAACTACTGAGTCCAACTCAGCCGTAGAGACCCCAGCACAGGCAGCGCTGAAGGCATTAAGAAGTAGACACCCAGATAGAACAGCAAAGTGGGACTATCTGGGGAGTCAACAGCCTTCCAAGTCCAGAGCCTTGGGGGCTGACGGCATCCCAGGCTGAGGGCCTGGAGCAGACTCTGGCCCACGTATTTACTCTCTGAACAGGTGATTGCTATTAGCAGCAGGTGTTCCGTGTTTTCTCAAAGAACCAAGATAAACTAGGTAGGCAGCTGGTGCCTGCTTACCACTGAT